GAACTTGGCTGGATGGAATCGGAATATTGCCCAAGAGCCTACATTCTTTTACCATCATTATGACATTCTATTTCTCCAGGAAACTTGGACTGATAAAAAATTTGAGATGAATGGATACAAAGCCTTTTGTCTGGATGCTAAAAAGGGAGAGGGAATGAGAAGGTTAAAAGGTGGACTTGGTATTCTACTATCAACCTCCCTTTGTGTTAAGTCCAAATCTTTGCATCATTTGGAGAATCTGGCCATGGCCATTGATATACACCTAGGTGATGAACATCTTATACTGGTCAATGTCTATATCCCCCCTTGTTTAACAAACTCAGTCACATCCTCTGTATGGGCCTGGCTTGACAACTATTTACAAGACTTATATATAAAAAATAAAGCTGATAAACTTATAATTGGGGGTGATTTTAATGCCAGGATCGGCCATAACGACCAATCTATGTGCGGTAAATACAAAAAGATTACTACGCCCTTAGAGGATGACTTCTTTCACACCCAGTACTCATGGTGCTCAAAGGATAGTAAAGTCAACTTTGCTGGAAGATGTTTACATGACATGGCCGTAAGATCCAACCTCCATATTTTGAATGGTGCTACAAAAGGAGATTTCCCTGGAGGCTTTACATTTACAGTGGGGACCAAAAACAGTACTATCGACTACTTCCTGGTTAATACGAATACCCTTCCACTAGTGAAAAGCCTACAGATTTTACCTGCTTTTGTAAGCGATCGTCATCCTTTATGTCTATATCTCACTTTTCCATCATACGAGATTCATCTTAAAACACAAATATGGCTGCACATCTCACTTTTCCATCATACGAGATTCATCTTAAAACACAAATATGGCCGCACATTTTACCAACTACACAAGTAGGTTGCCATGCAAAATGGATGCCTCAATTGGAGCAAAGATGGAAGACTGTTTAGAAGGAGAGAATAGCCTGGTAGGTAGGATGGCTATTTAAAACTACCCTAGGACGGAGAATCCAATTATTCCTTATACTAATCTTGAAAGAATCAAGCCTGTCTTTACTGCACAAAGGAATAGACCAAATCTTATTTTGAGATGGCCATCTAAAAGATGGTTTGATGATGAATATAGATCTGCTACAAAAAAAACATGCATCGTTGCCTTTCACGCTTATAGACATTCATCAGTATTGGAAAATCAAGCCCTATTGATACAAAGTTATACAAAGCAATTGTTGCAAGAAAAAGGAAAAATGATCTAAGGCTTACTTGGGAGAAATTAATCCAAACAGCAAATGAAAACAACTCCAAGGCCTTTTGGGAAATTATTTCTCAATATTACTGTAAAGCTCATTCTCAATTAGATATGCTAATATCAGCAAATACTTAAGAGTCTTTTTTTGGCAAGATCTACTTGGATAATTTATTAGTCCAACAATCACAACCTATCCTTGATCTACCTGAATGGCCGCCAGTTAGATCTAAAGAAGTAGGAGCACACATTCAACAACTTTAAAAAGGGAAGGCTCCTGGTATCGACACCATACCACCTGATTTTCTGATTAACAATGTAGATTGGTGGGCACCACCTTTAGCCTCCCTATTTAGTTATATCGACTCTACAGGACATATACCAGAAGATTGGAAGCAAGCAATAATCGTACCCTTTTATAAGAGAGGAGAGAGAGAGAGACGACCCTACCAATTATCATCCCATTAGTCTTCTTAGCATAATTGGTAAATTGTATGCTAGACATCTTTTAGACAAACTGACAACCTGGGTCTTAGAAGAAGAGCTCCTTGCCATGGAACAAGCTGGTTTCAGAGAAGGCATGTCTACGATGAATCACTGCATCATATTATACCATCTATTAGAGAAATACCAGTCTAAAGGGCCAGTTTCACTATATGCCACCTTGTTGTATCTAAGATCAGCTACCTACAGAGTAACTGATAAGAGGGATCTGAATAGGAACTAGAACCTCGAGTCAATACTAGGCATGGTCTAGTTACCATCCACGTAGAATTCAAACTCAGCAAACAGTAAGTGTAACCAAGAAACACCGTTTGGAGGAGGAAATTTTTCTCTTACCAGCAAGTGCTATTCAGAGCAAGGAGATGCTTTGGCTAAGTATTTCATTAGTACCACACTTGAGACAGTACGTGAACTCGAGGCTCCTAGCACGTCTTCTGGTCCTCTTCCGCCAGGCTTTTAGTTAGGGCGACAGGCATCCCCCCTCTCTACTGGGCCTCCCCTCAGCGGGTCAGATCTGCATTACCATCTAAGGACTCAGACTTGAAGTAGATTGCATCTGTGAGGCTTTAACTAGGAAAGTTGCTGTATTTTATTGGGGTTTCAACTGTTTTTTTAATTCTTTGTATACTCTATATTGGTTACTATGTTTGATGGAACCCACCCTGAGCTTGCTATGCGGGCAGGGTGGGATATAAATCCAATAAATAAATAAATAAAATAGGCAGAGAATGAAGTTTATAAGAAAGCAGCAGGTCAGCTATATTGTGCTGAACACTGACCTGGGAAGAACTGCCCAACCTTTACATCAGAAGGAGCCAGAAGGTTCAAACACAGCTGATTGACTTACAAGTCCCCCTTCAAATTGTTTCTCTGTTTTAACTTTCTAGGTGGCCTTAGGCATTAGGGCCACCTCTTAAAATGTGCAGTGTGGGGGTAATAATACTGAGCTGCCTTGCAGGGTGGCTCAAACAAGAGAATATATAAGAAGCCTTGGAACACTGGAAAGCTCAATAGAAATGCTAAGGTTATTGGTACGCCTTGCTGGACGTTTTGACCAACCAAAATAAACCAACACAGATTGCACAGTTTTGTGGTCTTAATAAAACATATTATATAGCTTCTGTTTTGGGACCAACTTGACTTGACTCTGTCTACTTTGACAGATCATGTTTTGCAGTCCCAAGGAATGATATGGAAAACGGTTGTGCCAAGATGGGGAGGGATTTGGCTAGCAAAAATGAGAAATAGGTTAGCAAGGATCAGTTTGGATGTTCTCAGTAGCTATTTGCAAGGTTTATAAAAGAATCTACAAGTCTCTAAGTGGAGCATTAAAACCCTTACACCCCCCACTGTAATGACAAAACAAATGGGCATTTGGATTTCAAGGAATTCTTATGAACCCAGCCAGCAGCAAAAGTGGTGAGATGCAATAAACAAAGGCTTTTGTTTCTCACAAAACGTTTCTTTGGAGCGTCTCCACAGGAAACCTGCTAAGTTCCCTGCAAATCCTCTGCCTGGGAATTTAGCATTACTTGCTTTTAAAAGTTATAGCTTGTCCAATGCTTGGCTTGTGCTATAAGGCAAGACCGAAGTATTAAAGGACTGAAAGCAGAGAAGGAGGTATGCAAAATTACCTTATATGCTGCAAATGCATTACTGTATGCAGATGAAACTTCAAGTGCATATTTGGGCATTTATTGAGATATTTTATAAATTGGTCTAAATCAAAATTAATGCCTCTTAGAAAAGCTTGCAAATCATCCCTGTTTTCTTCATAGAATTTCAAATTGTGTCTCTCTCAAATGTTGTAATAGTAACAAAAAACATTAGTATGATGGTTTAATGGGAGTTTGGGGTTTGGCGAAAGAGCCCCTATGCACACAGATGTGTCCAGTGTGGTCTGAACACATGAAGCAACAGGGTGTGCAGGGAAGGAAAGGAGCCACGGAGATCGAAGTAGGTTCTATTCAGTTCTTTACCTACTCTTGGCAAGACTGTTGGAGAAAGACAAAGCCTTCTTTGTGTCCCAAATGGGCTAACAAGGGACATGGACCAGTTTTATCCCCCACTGCAGGAAGGAGGAGATGTCTCTTATGTAGTCTGAGAAATAGTCTGAGAAATTATTTATTTATTTATTTTTATTTTATCCAATTTATACCCCGTCCTCCCCGCTACGCGGGCTCAGTTGGAAGAGTACATAGTTTACAAGGAATTGTTAGTAATTGTGGTTGAAAACAGCATGCACAGAGAGTTGAAGCAAATATTTGCTACCTAGATGGATCAGCAAACAGGTGAGATACCCAGCAACATTAAAGCCAGATTTTTATTCCTCCATAATTAGTCTGGGTTCGGAATAGACCTGTCTCCAAGCCAAATGTTGTAACACAGAAAAATCCTTTGAGTGTGCAATATGGAATCTGTGTAATCAGATTTTCTGAGAACTAGCTTTTCATTTTTGGTACATAACAAGTTTCTCCCTCTCATGATTGTAGAAGTAAACTTGAGAAATACACAAATGGGATGTGCCAAATTCTCCAATGTAAATGGGATCCTGGGCAAAGGCTCCAATGGGTGACGCCGTTTGTTTTATCTTTAAAAAATGATATACTGCTTCTCCAGAAACCTGTTTGAGGCAGCTTACAAGTTACAAGTCAATCCTAAAAGAAATCCACCCTGACTGTTCCCTGGAAGGCCAGATAATGAAACTGAAGTGCAAATACTTTGGCCACCAAATGAGAAGGGAGCACTCACTGGAGAAGACCCTGATGCTGGGAAAGATTGAAGGTCAAAGAAGACGGGGACGGCAAAGGATGAGATGGTTAGACAGTGTCATCGATGCAACGAACATGAAATTCAGAGGACGGTGCGACTGAACAACAAGTTACAAATAAAACAAGACAATCAAAATAAGGCCTTAAAGGACAAATTAGGGCAGAACTGTTGTGCCATATAAAACTTTTTCCATATCTTTTTTTTATACTACCATTGCAGTTCATGTCCAAAGATACTATTTCTAAATTATTTTAAAAATAATTTCAACCCCCAGACAGAAAAGCAATAGAAAATATAATGCCCAAATATCCTATATGATTTGAAAATCCAACTATCTCAGCTAGAAGGAGCATTTAATTATAGTTTTGAGTGTAGGATTTGTTTGTAGTGAAAAGTGTGCCATTTTATATGTGTGATTTGACTCTGTTTTGAATGTTAATGTTTTTTACTGACACAGTCAAGATGGCTAAGCCCCCTGACTTCTCTGTTCCAGATCATTTCCAAGAAACTGTATGGTCCCATGTGGAAATCCAAGTTTGGCTCATACAATAATATCAATATTGGCAGTCCTGAAGTCCTCGAGCAGCTGTTGCGTCAGGAAGGGAAGTACCCCATCCGGAGTGACATGGCCCTCTGGAAGGAGCACCGGGACAAGCGAGACCTGCCCTACGGTCCCTTCACAGAGTGAGTGTGAGGCCAGATCACCCGTGCCAGACTAGCACTGCAGAAGTATTCCAAGGCTTAGATGCAAATAAATTAGGGATAAATAAATTTCTGCTGGGGAGATGTGCCCAAGGCTGTGAACAACATGCACTTTAAAAAGTAGTTAAAAAAAAAAAATCTAAATCCTGCAATCTGAATACATTAAACAAAAAGGTATATTTGCTTAATTTGCGTAACTTTTTTTTTGTTTCTTGTAGTCTCAGGAGAGACTTAACTGTAGATGGCACTGAGGCTCTGGTCGACTGTCCTTTGCCGTTGTTGTTCAGCCACAGGGCTATTTTGGGGCAGGAACGCACAGGAATGGAGTTCCGGCTGGCTCCCAAGTTGGCCACGCCCAGCACAAACTCATTAGCATAATAGGCCACACCCAACAGCAGAAACTCATTAGGATTGGCTACATTAGGGGTGTGTGGCCTAACATGCAAAGGAGTTCCTGCTACAAAAAAAGCCCTGGGTTTGGACAACAAACAAGATAAACAGAATAACAAGCAAAAGGTGGGTGTGGCTGGATAACCACACTTCTGGTAACATGGGGGTGTGGCCTAATGTGCCAATGGGCTGTGCTGTCAGGGGTGTGGCCTAATAGGCTAACAAGTTCCTGCTGTTGGGTGTGGCCTATTATGCTAATGAGTTCCTGCTGGGCTTTTTCTACAAAAAGAGCCCTGTCAGCCATATATATATACACACATGCCTGAGATATATAAAAGCATTGCATGCTTTCAGGGCTGTCTTGGAAAACTTAAGGGCTAGAAATGTGCAGAATTCTCAGGATGCTGAACTCTGTGTCCAATAACTAGTTATTTATTTCCATGATAGCATGATCACACAGTCTGGTATGGAAAAAATATACAGATGTGTGCTAGATGCCCACAGAACAATACAATAACAAAAGAGACTAGATTAAAGCCATAACATCATTTAGTATCTGGTAACAAAAAAACAACCACTTATTCCTTCATAGAAAAAATACAAAGGTCGATAAAACTTCACATAGCAGTCTGCTCAGACTCTCTCAATCTATATCCCTCTAACAGTCTTGTATTCTTATCCAGATTGGCTTAACATTGGAGCCCTATCTCTGTACACAGAAAAGTCAGCTTTTAGGCTGATCAGGCAAAGACTGGTTGACATTAAGAGGCAGGTTCTTGAGAGTCGTGCAAAAAGTAGATGCTCACCCCTCAATTTGGGGCTTTTACCTTTTGGGCATAGGGCTGAGTATCTAACTTGTTTAATGAACTCGTGGCAACGCAGAGCATATATGTTAGCCAGGTTTATTGTGTTGCCATCAGCAGTATTTTACGGGAGATTCCAAAAAATCCCATTCGACAGTAGATTGTGTTCCTGCACTAAGCAGGAGACAGAAACTCTTGAACATGTGTTTCTTTCATGTACCTTCTACTCAGACCTGCGCCTTACATTCATTGAGCCATGGCTGAGAAAGTATTCAGAGAAACCTGATAAATGTAAGATTTACTTTTTGGTGACAACCCAGAATCATGTAATAATTGAAAGTGCTGCAAAATTTCTGTATGAAACTTCAAAAAGGCGTTCAGTATGCCTTGCAAATTGAGTCATATGTTCTGTATGTTATGCCAATAAAGGTCGATTGATTGATTATCCAAATTCCCAAAAGCAGCCTGCTCCAAATTAAATCAATCAGTGTCTCTCTTTCAGCACTTTTCCAGGATATCTAATCTTTTCAGACCTCTGGTCTTTCCTCAGGAACAAATCCTATATAGGAATCTTACATTCGGTTTGACACTTCCATTGATCTACTTTTCTGTTAATCTATTTGGGCCAGGTCTCCTCACTTATTTCCTAGCTTGCTGGTGCTGCCGCCATGGGAACTGATCTTGGTCGCCTGGAGATCAATTGTAATAACGAGAGATCCCCAGGTGCCACCTGGAGGTTGGCAACCCTATCTGCAGCCACTCTGGTAGGCAGTCACCGGGACATCTCAAGACACAAACCCAGAATCCATAGAGACTGGGTCATCTGTCCTCAAACCCAGAACCAACTGCAGCTTCAGAGACTTCTCCTCGGCTACCACACTGAGTCTCAGACATCCACCCCCAGTACTTGCCTCTATAATCAAGCCTGGTACCTTTCATTTCCAGCAGTCTCTGGTGGTCGGAGGCCCCAGAATTACAGCTTATGTCCAGACTACAGAGATCAGTTCCTCTGGAGAAAATGGATGCTTTTTTGGGGGGGGGGGGTGTCTATGGCATTGTACCCCACTGAGGTCCCTGTCTTTCCCAGGCTCCATCCCCAAATCTCCAGGAGTTTCCCAAACTGGATCTGGCAACCCTGATTCCCCTAATGCTCTGCTGGTGGCTTGCACACACATATCTCCCTGCAGGACAATTTAAGCCTCCTAAGTTTTCTGCTGGCCTGTGTCCAGTTTAAAAGATCTTGCCATAGGCGTGTCAGTCTGTAGATACTTGGACGGTGCTTTGCCAGGCTTTCTAGTGCTCTGCCTTGCCACAGTGGACTTCAGTCTTGAGCAAGACACAGAGGTTTGTCCAGAACAAGTTGGCAACCCTGATTCTAAACCTGGGCTTCAATCCACCTAGGCTCCTGTATTTGTTTATTTTACTTTATTTCATTTGTACCCTGCTTTTCTCCTCAGTGAGGACCCAAAGCAACTTACATCGTTGTCTCCTCCATTTTATGCTCCCAGCAACCCTGTGAGGTAGGTTAGGTTGAGTCTGTGTGACTGGCCCAAGGTTATACATCAAACTTCCATGGCAAAATGGGGATTTGAACCTGGGTCTCCCAGATGCTAGTCCCATACTCTATCCACTATGCCTCACCGGCAAATTAAGAGTTTGATGCAACTCTTCCAAACACAGGGAGCCTTCAGTTGTGTTCTGTCCACGAGAGAAGGAAGAAGAGGAGCACACAAGCACAGCAAGCAAGCAGTGCTTGTGCCTATCATAGACAAACCCGTTTGTTGTGGTCTGAATGTGACCTGTAGGAAGACAGTGTATCCAGAGTCTTCTTAGACTACAGTACTCAGATAGGTTAAGCAACTCTACATCCATTTGTCTCTACAGCAAGGTTTCTCTAAAATTTGATGATAAAGATCTCTGAAAGATTAAGAAACTGTAACCTCTGAAGCAATAGGACCAAGGATAGATTCCCAGACATTTCATTTCCAGCTCTTACATTCTTTTATGAGAGAACTTACTGATATTCCGAAGCAATGAGGAAGCTTCTTCAATCTGATCTCACACTTGTTCTCAAAACCGGTCCCATTCGGTGTTATGCAATGCCCGCTATGTGGGCAGGAGATTGCACCATTAATCTTGGTCTTGTGACTGAATCGCTGTTTTGTATTCTACACCCATGATATAGAGGGGCAGATAGAGATAGGGTCAGGCGGCTGAGGAGCTGAATGAGTCCTCTTTGTGTTCCTCCTCCTGCCCACCAGCCCTTCCCCTGAGCAAGGCTAGCTCCTACCAAAGCCAGGGAGAGTCAATGTGTATAGGAAAGAAAGAGGGACTTTGTGTTTGGTGGCTGCGAAGTAGACTGTGGGCGATGTGTTTCCAGTTCTTCAGAGTTGGCTTAGAATAAAAATAGATTAGGTATAGTCCTAAGATATTATAATAAACATCCTCCATTAAAATCCATGGACTGTGTTTTTAGTAAGCCCTTCTAAATGTGTGGAGCCATTCAATTTACAGCCTGCTGTAACCCATTGGGATAAAGCGAACGCTTCAGTTCGCATCTGACAAATTGAGCTTTGAGGCCCATGGAAGCTTATATGCCCTGGGAAAACTGGTTGACCTTGGTCCTACTGGACTTGAATTTTGTTCTACTACTGCAGACTAAAGTGGCTACCTGCCTGAAATTATCAGCACCGCTCTTACAAGAAAGAAATGAGGAGCACAGGCAAAGAAAATGCTCCATCTAATCGTGCCGTTAACTCAAAGCCCAGGAAGAGGCTGCATAAAGAAATGAAGTGAAGGGGGGTAACATTGGGGGAGGTTTTGTCCTTGTGACCCTGCTTAGTGCATTTCTAATCTGTTCTTCTAAGGAGCTCAGGACGATGTACATCATTCCTCCCTCCTCACATTTTATCTTCACAGCAGCCTTAGGCTTAGGCTGAGTGTGTGTGGCTGGCCCACGGTCACTGAGGCAACTCCCTTCGTCTCCCAGATCTGTCCAAGATCCTAAGCACATTCCAAATCTTGCTTATAGGCCTTCTGGAGCACAAAGCCAAAACTCCCCCCATTGCCACTGCCCCCTTTCACTCTATCTGCTCAGTATTCCTGGACTTTGAGTTGTTGTCTGAAGTGAATTAGGAGGAACATTTTTTAAATAGACTGTTAACTTCCCCCCGCCCCCCGAGATGGTACCACAATATTGTCTGTTCCTCTACAAGTCCACTGACCCATCCCTGCCCATATAAACTTTTTTGAGTGTCTGGCTTGCAAGTTTATTTGCTGTAAGCCCAGAACTCTCATTGTTTGACAAATTCAGGTGGGTAGCCATGTTGGTTTGAAGCAGCAAAAGAAGTGTGTGTGTGCACACAAAAGTTTATACCCAGAATAAAACGTTGTTGGCTTTAAAGGTGCCACTGGACTCAAACTTTGCTCTGTTTGACAGATTTTTATAATACTAGTGATGGCATTCTGTAGGGTTACCAATGTCCCTGAAGGAAAAATGTTCTGCCCTTTGAATAAAGGTTCAGTGTGTGGAAATGGGCAGCAGGTAAGTAACATCACCTGGTAAAGAACATCCCATTAAGCCTCTGTCGAAAGGACCAGACATTTCTTCCTCCAGGCAGCTGGCAACCCTAACATCCGGTCTGAACTATTAACAGACCGGTGCCAAATAATTCTTATGACTATACTTCATATATAGGACCTTCCAACTTCCAAAACCATTGGTCTTCAACTATAGACTGCAAAGGCCAGGAAAATAGAACTTCTTCTGCTGCAGGAGTTATTCATCTTCCCTAGTGAGAAAGAAAAAAGAAAGATCATCTGTATTCAAAATCACAGAACCTGGGAATAAGCCATAGGTGCCTATAGGTCCTTGGCCTGCAGCTAGTTTTGATGGACAGGCAATTCCAGACAGGGATCCAGGTTCCCCTCCCATGCCCACCACTTTCCTGCAGCCATTGTTCATACCTCCTGTTGTAGCAGCTGGGAGGGCAGACAGGGCCCTCCAAAAAGCCCGACTTGGTACAGGAGCCTCCGATTGCTGATCCTTACAGTAAGTTTCATGTGTCAAAGAAAGTACTGCAGTACCCAGTCCATTTAGGGTAGACTTTAACCTGCCTGGAATTCTGGAGTAAATGACAAGGCAGTTCACTCAGTGGTTGTTATATATGCATGGACTTTCTTCTGTGTTGTCTGGTTCTGGGTGTGGATGCATTCTTGTGCAATCTGTGCTTGAGGAAAGAATAATTACTGCGAGTAGTTTTGCTGGTGTGTTGCAGCAAGGCTGATGCAGAGTCCTGTAGGATCTTGGAAGATTAGCTCATTTATAGTAATGTGACTGGATCAAGTAATGTGTTCCTGCTATCGAGAGGTTTGTTGACTGTTTGGGTGACAGATCTAACATTCTTAATCAGCAGTCACATTAGTTTTTTTACCATAGTATGAATGAACCAAGATTTACAAGTTGCCTCACAGGTGACATATATGCAAGTTGAACTCTTGATTAACAGTCTTCACTTCAGATGCGCAGTTCTGTATGTATTTATCCTTCACTTTACCAAAAATACTTCATACATATTTAAAATAAGTGAAAAGTTGCTCTAGGGATTACATTAGTTTTTTTTACCATAGTATGAATGAACCAAGATTTTGAACCAAGATTTACAAGTTGCCTCACAGGTGACATATATGCAAGTTGAACTCTTGCCCCTCCCCTTGTACTTCAGATGCGCAGTTCTGCATGTATTTATCCTTCACTTTACCAAAAATACTTCATACATATTTAAAATAAGTGAAAAGTTGCTCTAGGGATTAATATGTTGGAGGTGTATCGGCACTAGCCAATAGGTACCTACAATATGTGGCCTTTCCCCAGCTTGCTGGAAATTTGCAGAACCAGTTTTTCCAAAAAACAAACAAACAAGCAACCCTCCTACAAGGCATTAAAAGGTACATGTATTCAGACCACGGTGGCTCAGAGGTTAAGACGCTGAGCTGTAGACTGGAAGGTCTGTAGTTCAGCAGTTCGAGACCCTAGTGCCGCGTGATGGAGTGAGCTCCCGTGTCTGGCCCCAGCTCCTGCCAATCTAGCAGTTCGAAAGCAAGAAATTGCAAGTAGATAAATAGATACCGCTTCAGTGGGAAGGGAAGAGCATTCCATGCACCTTGGTGTTTAGTCATGCCGGCCATATGACCACAGAAACGTCTTCAGACAGTGCTGGCTCTTTGGCTTGGAAATGGAGATGAGCACTGCCCCTAGAGTTGGATTCGACTAGCTTTCAAGCAAGGGAAACCTTTACCTTTATCTATTCAGACCATGTCTAGTGTCCTGAAAATTTTCTGATACTTGTATATGATTCCCTATGGGGCAAACAGTAACCAGTGGTGGGGAAGAAAGTTTTACAATGGCAAAATAGTAGGGGGGAGAGTGTCTCCTTAACATTAAGAAAAATGGGAAGATCTCCTTGTGTTTAGTCTAGTTTGATCCCCTGTCATATCTTGCCAGACCGGTTTCCTCCCCTGTCAGGCCCTAGGGCACAGAGAAGGAAATATCTCTTTCATGCATGATGCAATAGAGTCCATTAGAGACAGGTCCATTTCAGTTTTTCACAGTCTGAGTGTTGCAATATAAAGCTGCCTTGTTGTTCATTTTATGAACACCTGATTAAATGAGAAGGAGGTTAGCAAGCGTTTTGAAGGAAGTTTTGGCCCCACTGATTGCTAGAAATTGTTGCAAATGTGGGTTGAAGGGTTTTCTAAAGTTGGATTGCAGCCCTCCCATTCTCTGCACTTAGACGTGTCCAGGGGTCATTTTGTAGAAAAAGAGGTGCAGGAGCTCATTAGCACAACTCATTAGCATAACTTATTTGCATATGCCACACCCCCTGACATCACCAGAAGCGTGTCAGAAGGCAACACCCACCACTCAGGCTCCACTGGACTATTTTGGATTGCTAGCTATTGGGGGGGGGGGGGGTACAGACCTGTCCTCGCAGAGGAGGGAGAGCTTGTACCTGAATAAAACTTGGTCTTAAAGGTGCCACTGGACTGTTTTGGACCGGGGGGTCAGGGGGAGCTCTGCAGCTTACCTGGCTGCTTCTTGCTCTGACTGAGGGCTGCTGGGAGCAGGGGGCGGGGCTTGTTGCATGTGCCCACCCCCTGGGCTCTTTACTGCCGGAGCTCCACTCCTGTGCACTCCTGTAGGAAATGACCCCTGGGTGTGTCTAAACATGTTCTGTAGGCAAATGGAAAAGAAATACACTTGAATTCATTTGACTGCACGGAACGGGAATGCAGGGCAGAGTCAAGGGTGGATGCTGGCAGACTGAGAAGCAGTGCCTGGTGGGATTGACTCATTTGCCTGGATGTCAGGAGTTGTTTGTGCTTCTCCCCTGTCCCACTCGTTCTCACTCTCATCCTTAGGGATGGGGAGCGGTGGCATCGCCTGCGGCAGGTGCTGAACAAGAGGATGCTCAAACCTTCGGAGGCTGTGCTGTATGCCGATGTCATCAATGAGGTGGTGTCTGACCTAATAGTACATCTGGAGGATGTGAGGGGGGGAAGCCCCTCTGGGGTGATGGTCCAAGATGTGGCCCAAATACTTTACCGATTCGCCTTAGAAGGTATGTGGTGAATTATCACGTGGCACATGACCTCCAATGTGATGCCCATGGTCACCATGGCACCCACCAACAGGGTTTTTGGTACTCCTTTTCTCCATCCCCAAGTAATCACTTCCCCAAGGCAAATAGCCAGTCCGGGCTTTCCTCCCCTCATTAGTGTGATGGATTTGATGAATGTGACTATGAGATATGACTTGAGTGTTTGCCAAATGGATTAATATTATATAGGTACAAGAAGTGGGACCCGCGATACTCCCCACAGGAAGCAGGAGAAGCGGCAGGAGGTGAACCCAGCCTTCTCCCTTCCCCACCCACCATCGGCATCAAGGCCGGCCTGCCAAGCTTTCTCCTTCCACCCCCCTTTCTCCCCAGCGGCGGCAAGTCCAACCACCAAGTTTTCTCCCTCCACCCACCCACCCCCATTCTCCCATCCACCCCTTCTCCGGTGCTGGCGGCGAGACAGTTGCCAGGGCATTCTCTGAGCATGCGCAGGGAATGCTCTTTTACTTTTGGGGCAATTTAAGTATCCCCCCTATAGTTTTTTTAACTTTTTGGATTTTTCTGCACACCTGGGGATTGCCCCAAATGTGCAGGAAAATCTCTTTGCCCCAAAGGTGCCCCCGATGTGTGGATTTAGATATCCGCACGCAGGGGGCGCCTTGGCTATCTCTTCTCTCCTTATATATAAAAGACTTCTCGTGTCCCTCTTCCCTCAATGTTCCACACACCTCCACAGCCTTTTACTCTCTCAACTGTCAGTCAGAAAGGAGTCCCTGGCCACTGGCTGTGTTGCCTTAGTCCCGTCCTTCATCCTGCCCACAGAAGCGCCGCCCAGCCTCTTGGCCGCAGTGTGCTCACAGCCAATGGATGGGCAGGATGCTCTGGTGGGCGGAGGGTCCGGAGGCCGAGCCAGTTAATGGTGACGCCGCGGCAGCACTGCACCCTTGCTCGGCCTGCAGGCCCCAGAGGGGGGCATGGCGGCGCTGCACCCAACCGCACCCAGCGCCGCCTTGCTTGGGTGGCAGCCCCGAAAAAGACTCCCTCGCTCGCCACCACTCCACCACCACGTTGGGCACTTGCTGGGAGGTGGCGAGCTGCGGTGGCTAGGAGCTGCCGCTGGTGCCGCACCCTTGCATGGCCTGCTGGCCCCACAAGGGATCCTGATGGCACTGCAGCCGATGGGAGGCCACACCAGCTTGCTCAGGCCACAGGCCTGAGAAGGACTCCCTTGCTCGCTCCCACTCCACCACTGGGAAACCGTGGCGGCGAAGAGGCGGCGCTGGCGGCTTCCTTGCCCTCCATGCCCAGCAATGGATCAGGGCACCACAGCACCCACGGCAACTGCCTTGGCCCCTGGGCCCTGCCCGGCCACCACTCCAGTGCCTGGTGGGTGCAGCACTCTCCTTCGCCAGGGGCCTTCCCTCCACTCCCCAAACCCCACCCTCTCCTGGATCCACTCCCAAAGTCTCCAGGTATTTTCCAACCCATACCTGGCAACCCTACACAGGCATGATCCCCGTCCATTTGAGATCTTGTCGCTGAAGCACCACAGTGGTTTGGGAGCAGTCCCTTCAATGCAAATAACAGTGGCAGAAAAAGTTGCCTCCAATGCACAGTTGGAGTGAGCCAGACTATCTCAAGGTGGATAGAGGGAAAACAGGGACCAGCTTGCAATTTCCTGTCCTCTGTCCAATAAAAGCTCTAAGCCTTGAGCAGTTTAACAATCTGAAACTTCATTTATAAACCCCCTGTGAGCATTGGAATTAATCTCTTGCAGGCCTTTAACTAAAAAAAAGCATCAGAATAAACATTAACATTACCAGCTTGAGAAAGAATCACATAGATTTTTAAAGGCGTCTGCAATTAATATGGTTGCCAGCCTCCAGGTGGGGCCTGGGGATCTCCCACTTTTACAACTGCTCTCCAGCTGACAGAGATCAGCTCCCCTGGAGAAAATGGCTGCTTTGGAGGGTGGACTCTGTGGCATTGGGCCATGCTGAGGGCCCTCCCCCCCCCCAACCCCACCAAACCCCGCCCCCTCCTGGATCCACCCCCAAAGTCTCCAGGTATTTCCCAGACCTGGCAACCCTAGCAATTAATAAGGTTTGAGATGCCAGGAGTTTTAGGGTATCTCTCTGTGACAGCAAATCTTTTTGTTCTTTGGGAGAAAGTGTAGTACCTGATATAAGGTTGGAACCTAAAAATTGGAACAGAAAAAATACCTTGTGACTCATATTCCCTTCTGGAGTAGGGCACTCATTGCTAAGATCAAAGCACCAGTTTTTGGTTTTGGCTCCAAATTCCAGAAATGCATCCAACTTAGATTGTTTATTTGCAGGTAATTTAGGATCTCTTTTTCTACCTATTCTATAAGTTTTATAAGTATTATTTATAGTTTTATAGTTGATTATTACTGACCATTATATTGATGTTTGTTCCCACTATAAAATAAAAATTAATTCAACTAAATGGCTAAATGAGTGGCATTAATAATTAAAACTCGCCTTCCCCTGCATAGGAACTCAGAACCCACAAGCTGAGCCAGATGACACACCTAATCAGAAAACAATTCAAAAATACAGAGGCAATTACCGCTGCCTAAAGAGGACTCAGAGGTTAAGATGCTGAAGGTGGAGACTGGAAGGTCTGTAGTTCGGCAGTTCGAGACCCTGGTGTCGCATGACGGAGTGAGCTCCCATCTCTGGCCCCAGCTCCTGCCAACCTAGCAGTTCAAAAGCAAGAAATTGCAAGGAGATAAATAGGTACCACTTCGGTGGGATGGTAACAGCATTCCGTGAGCCTTAGCGTTTAGTCACGCCAGCCACATAACCACGGAAACATCTTCGGACAACACTGGCTCTTCGGCTGTGAAATGGAGATGAGGAGCACCCCCTAGAGTCGGATTCGACTAGCTTTTGAGCAAGGGAAACCTTTACCTTTGAAAGAAGAGAAGGATAAAATGAACTAATAACTAAGTAAAAACAGAGGGAAAATTAAAAATAAAATGACATCTCTTCTTCAAGGTTCCGGTAACATACTGACAAACAGCAAAACAGCAGCAGCTTTGCCAGAAGAAGGAGAGTGGGGAGAAACTTCCCAGCCTCTCCTGTGACTCCTATCACACTCAGCTGTGCTCAGCAACTCATGGCTATCAAGGTCAGCCTCTTCCAAATAAAGTTAAAAGCTAGAGAGGCTGAAAAGTAATAGAGTTGCAGCCCAGTAGAATAGAGGGGGAGAAAAGAAATAAGAAGAGAAAGAAGGGGAAACCCCCAGTTCACAGGGTTCCTCCACCTGATTCGCCATCTCTTCTCACTTATTAAAACCTTTACTTCTCTCCCTCCCCCACTTCCTAAAACAAAGAAGGGAGGGAGTTAAAACCAAGATAAATATAAAATATTGAGACTAAAACTAAAGTAAACTGAAGTAAAGCAAAATGAAACAACTCCCTCTTGGAAGAGCACTGCCCACAAATGTCTGATCCCACTCAGCCTGGAATTTAACTATTGTCATCTTGCTGTTTATCATACACAGCCGTGTTGGACTAGTATTCATATTTACTGCCAAGAAGAAGGCATGCTTGCGTGCCCACCACGTGTGCTCAGTCTCTTGGACACCAGTGGCCCAAGGTGCCAGCAGCCACAAGAGCTAGCTCCAAGGGGTTTAGGGCTCCATTTGTCCTGGGGTTTTTTTTTTAAAGTCAGAGTAGGGAGGAATTTATAACACTATCCCAGGGTTATTTCCAAATGAAAGAGACCAAAGTCGAGGGCAAAACCTATTCCTAAAATATTGAGCAGTTCAAAATGTTAAAAAAGAGAAAAGTTTGCAGGAAGAAACTTCTACCCTGAAAGTAGGCCATGTAAAGGTATACATGGCTTTTCTTTTCATTTTATTTTCAAACTAGGTTTGGCTGGGGGATAGTGCTACTGGATGGCCTTATGCTAGTTACTCTTTCTCAGCCTAACCTACTTCACAGGGTTGTTGTATGGGTAAAATGGGGAAGGCAAGACCACCCTGAGCTCCTTGGAGGAAGGTGGAATAAAAATATAAAAGGCAGTAGTACATACAGTGCAATCCTAAAAAGAGTCCATTGAAGTCAGTGGGCTTAGACAAGCATAATTCTGCTTACACTTGCACTGCTAGCATACTCCATGACTGAGAAGGTGTCTGAACCCGTCCTACCAGTCTGTCTCGCTGCTGCACCACACCAGGTTCTGTAGGCTACAGGACCAATAGAACTTGGGTGGCTTATATGGCATACACACAGGAGCTGTGCTGTTCAGTAGGACTTGTACAAGAACGGCTCCTGATCAGGCTCTTTTCTCAGCAGAGAACCAGGCCCTGGTTTAGTCCTCCTGACATGAAGAGTTCCCCATTAAAAAATACCGAACAGTCCCTTATGTCTGAAATAAGGATAATGGATATTCATTTATCTTTTATCATGCTTCATTTTTAATAAAAGCCTTTAAAATAAGGGATGCACCCAGTGGAAATTACTTTTCCTGCTCTGGGAAGTTAGCTACATTGTGGCCCCAGTCACAAGGAGAATTTGCCGTGTGAAAGGCACGAATGTCGGGCGGATTTTTGGGGCGCAATCACACCACAACATCTGGGAAGAGTAGCGCACCCATGGCCAACCCGTGGCGTCCCGCCAAAGATGCGGAGTTAAAAAGTACCAAGGAAAGTGCACTAGTATCTGGAAAACGTGCGGCACAGGCAGATGTCTGATCACGGGAGCGCTACTATCCCGTGGCATCCGGTGCCCGTCCACATCCCTTCGCAAACCGGATGTTTTTCGTAAGCGCATGCGCACAAACACAAAACTGAAAGCAGTGCTGCTCCGCGCACAAACGTGAAACGCTTGTGTGATTGCGCCACGCCGCTTCTTTGCCACGCTGCAGCATCGCCGTGTGATTGCCAGCTATCAGCTGAAGCATGGAGACTGGGGGACCATGTGATCAGGCCACCGCGCTTTGTTTTGCTCCGGGGGAAACAGCCATGCCTCTCCCCCCCCCTGCGTTATCTGGCCCATGTGACTGGGGCCTGTGTACAGCACATTTCCTGCTAACCACTTGGAGGGCCCTGTAGACTATGCCCCACTGCCTCAACATTCCAACAACCCAGTATTGGCACAGTCACCCCCAGATTTTCAAGTACAACCATAATATCTCACTATATACCTCGTTGTTAGCCGCCCTGAGCCTTCGGGGAGGGTGGGATATAAATCCAAAAATAAAATAAAATTTAAAAACTGTCATCTCATTTCCCCCCCATACTCCAGTCATACAGCTTGGCTGCTGCAGCTCTCCCTCCTCACAGGTTCCGTTCTCTTCCCCCATTAGGATCCATTTTTTACTAAACTGCTACTTTTGCTTCCCTGTGATCATCACCATGTGACCGCACTGAGGGATCGTTCTTCTGGACATCACACCTGTGTGCTTTCCACCTCCAGGCATCTCGTACATTCTGTTTGAGACCCGCATTGGCTGCCTGAAGAAGCAGATCCCTGCGGAGACGCAGCATTTTATCGATGCTATCGGAGACACACTGAAGAATTCAGTCTTTGCCACCCTCCTGCCCACGTGGACCCGGGAAGTGCTGCCCTATTGGAACCGCTACTTGCAGGGGTGGGACACAATCTTTGCCTTTGGTACGTACAAGGTGGAGAGGCAGAGTGGATCTCAACACTTTACTGGGACTTTCATCAGAATGAGTCCAACACTGTTTGAAGAGCTGGGATCTTCCTCACCTTTGGAGGGGGGGGGGATAATTCGTCATCTCCATAAATTTCCTTACTATGTCCAAAATGGCAGTAAAGAAAACAATTATGGATGAGTGGAGGATTCTCTACTCTTGTGAAAAACCTTGTCATGGAAGGTCCACAGCGCCCACGGCAACAGGTACTGTTTCTCATGACGACAAATGTTGTCTCTCCTTGCTCTAGGAAAGAAACTGATTGATCAGAAGATGATGATGTTAGAAAAGCATCTGGACCAGGGTGAGGAGGTCTCAGGCTACCTCACCTACCTACTGTCCACTGGGAAACTTAGCCACAAAGAGGTTTATGGCAGCATAGCTGAGCTTCTGCTGGCTGGCATAGATACGGTAGGATGTGATTTCTTCGCTGTCTTATTTGCACTACCATAATCATACAGAGTCATAATGGAGCTATTACATGCTGGAATGTTGGAGAAGCACGGGTTCACACCGCAGCGAATGAAGCGGGAGGATACCATGGAGGAAGCGCAAGGGAGCGTTCACACTGTTGGCCCACCCTGGCGGCCTGTTAGCGGCTGTTTCCGCACTGGGCTGCATGCGCCCATTCGCATGGGCACATGGGCGCAGCAGCAAATAGGGCAGGATCGTGCAGGCACCAATGACGCCTGCCCGCAGACACAGCCGGTGCCTATTATCAATGACTGTGGGTTGTTCCCGCCTTAGCAGTGCTTGTGTTCACACTCAAGGAACCGGAATCAACGCGCTCTACACATGGTTTGCTACCACTTTCACCGGGTATCTTTTAAACTCGGGAGGGAAGCGGCACAAGACAGCTTGAGTACGGCTGGGGGACACCTGAAACATGTGCCTTTGTGAACCTGCCCCTTTAATCCGTTCCTGAAACGCTCCTGAAATGTTTGGCTGCCGAGCCAAACTGCCAGTCTGAACGCGGCCTGTGTGTGTGCATAAAAACCAAAAACAAAACTTGCTTCCACATGTTTGTAAATGTGAGCATTGGGCAACATGTTGATCAGAAGATGTGACTGGCAGAATCTCCTGTTGAGCATATGCTCAATGGAAACTTTTGATTTCCTGAGCCATGCTCCCTGCTGCACCTTCCCTGACATTCTGTTTCTTTGGCTGTCACATTCATCTTTCCCCCCCATCTGAAACATGTTCTTTTGAACATGCAGGCCAGAAAAGCAGACAGTTGCTCCTGCACCCCCACATCATGCACAGAAGGTGAAACACAATCCCCTGCTTCCTTGTTAATATCTCTTCTTTCCAAGCTGTATCTTTCCCAGCCTTGTTCTCACATGCAGAACAACTGATATTTATCCAAAATAAAGTTAGCTTAAAGCCCAGTCTGTTTATTTGTTTACATTCTTATTTGGTGTTCACTTTGCAAGTAGGTTCTGAAAGGTAGAGTAAGTTTAGAAGTGGCTTCACCTCCAAATTTTTTGAGAACCACCATTGTAATCTTACCTATCTGGTTGCAGTAAGCTACAGATTCCAAGCAGTAGTGCTGCTGTGCCTTTCATGATTATAGGAGCCTTCATGAAGAGAGGTCTGATTGATGAAAGCTTATACTGGAATAAACTTTGTTAGTGTTTGAGGCGCCACTGTTGTTTTGTTTTGCTGCAACAGAGTGACACTGCCGCCCCTCTAGAATTATGTTCACCTCCAGTCACTTTCCCCAGTCTACCTACCACAGGGCCTAGGATGCAGAGCAGAGGGCTTCTGTTCCATGCGAAATTCACACCCTACACAAAACTCAAACATTCAGCACATGGGAAAAGACATTTATCTCGAGTAAGAACCATTTGTGTTCTGAAACGGTTTACTTTGTTTGCAAGAAGTTCCCTTAACTTGGTGTTTTCTCTCACATTCAGCAAAACAAAACCCATAATTCTACATCAGTTTTTGTGCTATATGGCTATCACTTTAATAACCTTCATATGCAAGTGCAGTAGTTTGAGTATCAATGAAGCATGTGATTTATTTCTTGAGCTTTAAAAACAGTGAACAAGAGCCAAGTCAGAGAACAGGGGAGCAAAATGCATATGATACAATCGAATATTAAAGCTGGAAGCGATGGAGGTCGTCAGCCAACGTACCTTCCGTTCTGTGCTTCCACAAAGCTCACAGTTTTCGACAAGGTCAAATCATAGCAAGGACATCTGATGGTTGGAATGTATGGACTTCACCTGTTGAATGCATGTGACTGCATCAGCAGTTTATAAGGGACACTAGAAGACTGTTAAATTGTTGGTACACAGAAATTGAGATATTAACTGCATTACAGAAATTCAGTTGTTTGTACAATTTATAATTTTTGTCATTTTTTACGGTGTGTATGTTTTGTTTGACAACCTGCCCTGTGATCTCTCTGCTTTTGTAGCCTCCATATAGCTGCTGATGATCTCCCAGAATGACAGCTGGTCTGCAGACAACAGAGACCAGTTCCCCTGGAGAGAGTGGCTTCCGTGGAAGGTGGGCTCTGTGGCCCCACAAGCCTCTGAGGTCCCTCCACTCCCCTCTCCGGGCTCTACCCTCCAAGTCTCCAGAAATTCCCAAACCCAGAGAGGGGAGGGACCTCACTGGAGTATAAGACCATAGAGTCCATTCTCTAAAGCAGTTAGGGGTTGCCAGGCCCCTTCCCTCTGCCAGCGGGGGCCTTTGGGGGGTGTTCCGGGAGGTGGGGGGATGTCGCGCAGTGTCCCTTATATGATGACGTCACCCGGAAGTGACATCATCGCGCCAGAACCGTCATGTGGAGATGTTCTGGTATTTGGGTAAAACTCTATGGTTTTTCACTCTCAAAACCATAGAGTTTGCCCAAATACCAGAGCACCCCCCTCCCCGTGCGACATTTCTGGCATGATGACAGCGCTCCCAGGTGAAGTCATTGCGTTGGGGGCGGTACTTCCGTTTTTATGGGAAGTAGCCAAAAAAAAAAGTGATCTGGTGGCGGGATTTTCCCCCAAAAGCCATCTGGGTGGCAGTGGGGAAGCCAACTCCAAATCAGGACCAGGGGGCTGGGATCCCTAAAAGCATCTATTTTCTCCAGGGGAGCTGGTATCTGTAGGAGATCAGCAGACCACACCTGGAGGTCGGCAACCCTAGGCAGGCAGGCTGCCTCTTCCTTCCTTCTTCCTACCCTCCTTGGTGGAAGTTGGGGGGGGGGGTGCTTTTCCAGGGCCATTTTCCTTCCTAGTCTGCCACTGCTGTCTTGGTTCAGTAGTGCTTCTGTCTAAGAGGATAGTTTTCGTTCTAGCAAAGAGTGGAAGCTCTTGTTCTGTAAACTGAAAGGTCTTATAAAGGTGTCTCAAATTTACACTAGGCCTTTGACGACTAGGGGTGCCAGCAGGCCTGGGGGGGAGGGTGGACTCAATAGCATTGTACCTTGCTGAGGTCCCTCCCCTCCCCTCCCCAAACCGTCCACCTCCCAAGTCTTTCCACCCAGAGCAGGAACCCCTAGTTGTATGTGGTGCTGAACGCAGCATGCTAAGGCTCAGGGGTCATTTCCTGCAGGAGCGCACAGGAGCGGAGCTCCGGCAGTAAAGAGCCCAGGGGGTGGGCACATGCAACAAGCCCCACCTCCTGCTCCAAGCAGCCCTCAGAGCAAGAAGCAGCCAGGTAAGCTGCAGAGCCCCCCCCTGCCCCCAGTCCAGAACAGTCCAGTGGTACCTTTAAGACCAAGTTTTATTCAGGTACAAGCTCTCCCTCCTCTGCAAGGGCAGATCTGCCTGGCCCCCCCCCCCAATAGCTAGCAATTCAAAACAGTCCAGTGGAGCCTGAGCAGTGGGTGTTGTCTTATGACACACTTCCGGTGATATCAGGGGACATGACATATGCAAATAAGTTATGCTAATGAGTTATGCTAATTAGCTCCTGCACCCCTTTTTCTACGAAATGACCTCTGGAAATAGGCAGTTATTTCACCTAGTAAGAGACATCCCATTAAACCTCTACTAAGAGGACAGATTTTTTTACCCTACAGCCCAGATGGCAACTGTCTTGGTATAATTTACAAACCCTTAAATGCCATCATCTTTATTTACTTGCTACATTTGTACTCATCCAGTCCAGTCTCCAGCAATCACAAAGTAAAGGTGTTAACCTTATGAGGAAGGCTGGGCAGATGAAACATCTTGCCCGATACCACCCACTTCGATAGCAGGATGAGCACTTGAACTCGGGTGTCTCATAGCTGACGCTCTGGCTGTGGTACCTCACTGATTCATATCATAACAATAAGACTACAAAGATAACACAGACAGGAATAAATAATATTTATTTTATTTATTTATTAGATTTTTACCCACCCTCCCCGCCAAGGCAGGCTAATACTTGTTTGCAATAATAGTTGTATCAATGTATTCTTAATTCAAGGAAACTGGGAAAATATAACACGCTAGAAAGAGCTGCACATTCTTATAGTATATTTTTGGAGAGATTGGTGACTGTGGATAGGTCCTTGAAGACTGACTGACCATCTAGGATCTTGCCTGCAGATGATGCCTAAAAGTGCTATCATCACTATCTTGCTTTGCCTTCTCAGACATCCAATACCCTCTCATGGGCCATGTACCACCTATCACAGGACCTGGAGATCCAGGAAGCTTTGTACCAGGAGATTATCAATGTGGTGCCCAAAGATCGGATCCCAGATGCTAAAGATCTCACCAGGATGCCACTGCTAAAGGCCATAATCAAAGAGACTCTCCGGTAAGAGCTCCATCACGGTCTTAAGGAGCAGAACCTCAAGCTAAGAGTGTGGTGGTTCTCAACACCTCTCTTGTGACTTCCCCCTCGAACCACCACAACCTTGAGAAAGCTGTTACATCCATCTCTATTTGTGCTCCAATGTTTCGGGATAAACTCGTCCTATATGAGTGACACCCCCCCCCCGATCCCCTGTAGGCTGTATCCTGTGGTCCCTGCCAATGCTCGAATCATTGCGGAGAAGGACGTGGTTGTCGGAGGGTACAAGTTTCCAAAAGACGTGAGTAGAAAAATATTCCTGATCTTGCCGTGCAGACATTTGTTAGTGCCCTAGGCTCAGCAATTGGAAATGAGTGGGAATTAAAATGGGGTCACTGGTTTTCCATAGGGCCAGTCTAAAGAAAGGGAAACGTGTGTGATATACTAGGCTGGAGATAGATTAGCACAGCATGTGTGCGTTTAAAGAAATTCTACCCCACATTTTCTGTAAAAATATGTTGAAGGTTGTTTATGTAAACATAAAACATTTAATTAAAATAATAAAGCATCACAATACGAATGCAACTGGTATGAAAGCAACAGCATAATATTAGGCAGATAACAGTATTACAGCTTTGATGCTGCTTATAAAGCAGAAATCAAGAAGCAGAGAATCCATTTACAACACAGATCAACCAACAGAATAAAAGCAAGACACATCTGTTAAATGCTTCACATGGGGACAGATTGTCTAAACGCTTGGGGAAAGAAAAACATTTCTGCTTGGCACTAGAAAGATTGCAGTTTTAGCACCAGCGTGAGCTTCTTTGTGAGACAGGATTTCACATGTACAGTCTTGTCTTAGGAGCACAACAAAAAGAAGGTCTGCCTCTTGTTTTTACACACACACACACACACACACACACACACACACACACACACACACACACACACACACACACCACCCTCAATCAATGGGAGCGCTGAGCAGAGCATTTGAGAAAAACTGAACTGGTAGGCAGGTTCATATTAATAGAAAATGGTTCTTTAGATATCCTTGTCCCAGACCATGTAGGGCTTTATAGGAGGTTATCAGAACTTTGAATTACTCTCAGAAGCAACCTGGCAGCCAGCGAAAGGTCTTTTAAAACCAACAAGACACAGTCCCTATAGCTGCCATCTGCTATCAGTCCAGGGCCTCTAAGAAGGGGGCACTGGGGGGAAAAGATTTTGTGGGGGGGGGGACAAAGCTGGTGGGCCCCTGAAGCCAACATCAGGCTGCAATCAGTCTAGCTGCTATATTTTGGACTAGTATTCAAAATTCATTCAAAGGCAGCTCCTTGTGAAGTACATTATAAGCCATCTAACCTCGATGTAACAACAGCATGGATGATTGTTTTATTTATTTACTTAATTTATTTATTTTCCTTTACAAAATGTATATTCTGCTTTTCTTCCCTCATAAGGGCCATCAAGACAGCTAACAAATAACATAATACAATCACATTCTAAAACTATTAAAAAACTCCACACAGCGAGGTTGACGGAAGGAAGGAAAGAAGGACAGAAAGAGAGGTGGAAAGAAGGAAGGAAAGAGAGTGGGTCTGCTACTGCCCCTCTCCCTCCCTCCTGCTAGATTTAATGGGCCCTCTAGCTGGTCCGTGGGCCACGTGGGCCCTGCTGATCAGCTGAAGCCCTTTAAAACTGGCAGAAGGGGAGGGAGAGGGGTGGGGCTTGGGGGCAGGGCTTTCCCACCAGCCAGCTGGTCAGGGGTGGTTTGGAGCCCCCAAAAGCAGTGGAACCCCCGTCCGGACCTGGGAGCTGGTAACCATAGACCCAAAGAGGTGTTCTCCTGCCCCCTTCATCTGGAGAACAGGTCTACGTGCCCCAGTCCACTATATAGGTAGACCTGGCCTCAGACTGTCACCCTGTGCTAAGCCTTATAAAACACACCAGAACTTGGGGGAGGGGGACTCTTGCAGTCTACTTTGGTGTTGTTTTTAGTGAAATATGACAACCAGCATTACAGGTCAAGTATAACAGATGTGGAACAATCACTGTCAGAACGCTGCCTAACCTAACAAACGGGAAGTTGCTTAAATGTTATCAGCCTGCCCAAACTATTTATTCAAATATTTATATCCCACTTTTCCCTGTGACTCAAGGCAGCTTACAAATCATATTGAAAAGCATAATAGGGGTATGCAAAAAAAAATTGATTTCCCCCCAGCTCAATTATAGCCTATGGGGAACATTATAGTCAATGGGCCCCACAGGCTAAAATGGAGAATCAATCTAGGGGTATCTGGGGCTCCCGGGGGTGTGTGTTTTTTTAGGTAGATGCACCAAATTTGCAGCATAGCTGCTGGTGCCTCTTCTCAAACCCCACCCCCCAAGTTTAAAAAAGATTGGACCAGGGGATTCAATTATATGGGCCCCAGAAGGAGTTGCCCCCATCCTCCATTGGTTCAAATGGAGGGGGAAATGCCTTGTGGGCTGAAGGAGAAATCCCTGCACTGCCTGTTAAAGTTTTGTGTGCCAGTGCCCCCTAGTGCAGCTTAGAGGGAACTATGAGCCGCCACCTATTTGAGCACCTTGCCCAAATGAGACTGTTGCAATTGGCTGATAAATGTTTAAATCTTGTGGGTCTGAGATGGGAGGAATCTCATATCCACTTCCTTCAAGGAGAGCTGAGTTGAGAAGTATGGTCAGAGCTGGTATACTGGAAGAAATACCAGTTGAGTATTGGCAGAGAAGATTAGCATTAATGTAAAGTTAGCTTCCTGGAACATTTCTGCTGCCACCACCATGTCCAAAAAGTTGCCTGGGGGAGGTTTATATGGAAGGGCAAAGATTCATCTCCATGGCTGAAGTCTGTTTCTACCTCTCTGTTTCTCACTGGACCCAGACCCTGTTTGTGCTTGCCCACTATGCTCTCTCACATGACGAGACTTCCTTCCCTGAGCCAGAACAATTCCTACCACATCGCTGGCTGCGAGAGCACAAGGAATCAGCTCCCCACCCCTTCAGCTCCATTCCCTTTGGCTATGGGGTGCGTGCCTGTGTGGGGCGTCGCATTGCTGAGCTTGAGATGCATCTGGCTCTTGCCAGGGTAAGTGCTTCTTGATGTCAACTGAAATCGTTTGCTGACCTCCTTCTCTATCTCCAGAATGAAGGTGGCATTCTCAGATTGAGGAATGGTATTAGCAAAAGGCTTGATGCTCTCCACCCACAGCAAATTTAGTGGGTGATGCACACATTTCTGGTGGCTGGTAACTTGCTGGAAGTGTACTGTGTCCTATGCTTTGGAAGTCTGATAACCAAGAAAAATTAAATGTTAGCGTTTTTGCTGTATTTATAGTTACAAAAACAAAGAAAGCAGAAGACTGTAAAATCCCCTTGCATAAAATCATGGATTGCTACCAGGAGGTCTTTTAGGCTGGAGAGTTGTTCTCTGGGAATACTGATATAAGGTCTGCTGGTCTGTGTATTTTGAACTCACTAACTGGTACTTCTAAAGAAGGAAGTAATAATGGGACCAGCAATTCAAAGGACATACATGAACAAATAGAAAATTGCTGCAAGTTCATATACAAAAATGAATAGACAATAGTAAACTTGATAACGATGACGTTTTGTGATGTTTAATGTCTTTGTTTTTCAGAACGTCATAAACAGAAGATGACATCAACCAGAAGTACGAACATCTCGAGTGGTTGTTCGTTTCGAAGAACTCTTTATCAACCAAATTCAGTTCTCAGGTTGTCTTATTACACTCCGTAGTGATATCAATCTTATCCAGCCCAGCTCCAACAGCCCACGGCTAACAAGTCTCTTGTTGTCCGAACTTAAGACTTGTTAGCCGTGGGCTGTTGGAGCTGTGCTGGATAAGATTGATATCACTACTGAGGGTAATAAGACAACGACAACCTGAGAACTGAATTTGGTTGATAAAGAGTTCTTCGAAACGAACAACCACTCGAGATGTTCGTACTTCTGGTTGATGTCATCTTCTGTTTATGACGTTCTGAAAAACAAAGACATTAAACATCACAAAACGTCATCGTTATCAAGTTTACTGTTGTCTATTCATTTTTGTATGTGAACTTGCAGCAATTTTCTATTTGTTCATGTATGACTTCTGAAGAAGGAACGGAAACAGTGTTTACCGGAACAGGTGTCAAGTCTCCCACAATCTTCTTGCACTGCAACATCTGGTGTCTGTGATCTTACTTGGACTCCTTGAGAGTTGTGTATTTATCTTTTCCACTTGGTGTTGATTTCTTGTGATTTGTTTTTCCAGTTTGGTGTGTATGTGGTATATGTTTCTGTTATTGTACAATATTTTTGACTATTCGTTTTGTAACTCTTTTCAGTACTATAGAGACACACTAATCTGTTAATGTTTTCTTTATTTATTCCATTGAACATTGAATGTTATTATAATTTGCGTGCATGGTGTTCATAGTCTTCTGCTTTCTGGCATTTATAGTTGTGTCTGTTTAATCTGTTTATAAACTATCTCCAAAACCAAGCTGATTGAGAGTGCAGGATAGAGAGATAGCTAGCTTCCAAACATGTTGCAAAAGGTGCCAGATAGGAAGTGGGGAGGGAAATACAAGACCTTGACCATATAGATTTTAAAATTCTGTGATTAAGGCCTTTTTGACATTCATCATAGCTCCACAGCTTTTCAATTAAAATAGCTCCTGTGGAAAGCCGCCTTGAATGCTTAATTTCGCAGAAAGGCAGAGCACGCGTACCCTGAATAAAGTGCTATTGTGGAGCAAGTAATCTCCCTTCCCACCCTTGGATAACTCTAGAGGTGTCAATCAGCAAGGCCATGGCTCCATCTCAAGGAGATGTTGAGGGAAACAGAGTAGAGTTGACATCTCTGGGTGGGGAAGTACCTGGAGATTAGGGGCGTGGAGCCTGAGGAGGGCGGGTGTGTGTGTGGTGGGGAGGGACTTCAAAGTGGCCATTTTCTCCAGGTGAACTGATCTCTGTCACCTGGAGATCTGTTGTATCAGCAAGAGATCTCCAGCTACTACCTGGAGGTTCTAGTAACAAATAAATATACCCTGCAAAAACCTTTTAGCAAACTAATGTGTTCTATTTATGGTCATCATTTAGTAAAGTGCAGGGTGTCTCATTATTTCATCCTAGTCAGGTAAAAATATTCATCACATTCAATAAGCAATAACATTCAATACATACAGATTCCTAACTACCAAACAATTTTGCATCAGTAAAAGTCAAGCCCCAACGGCTTTGAGAATGACAGGAGTACTCCGTCCATGAATGTTAGCTGCATCATGTGTCATTAGCAGAACCAGCAAAAAGCATCCATACAAGAAGGCAGTCCCCCTTTTTGGAAGACTTCATGCAAGGAGAAGCGGGCTTATAATTCTAGAAATTCCCGTTGGGGCTTGACTTTTACTGATGCAAAATTGTTTGGTAGTTAGGAATCTGTATGTATTGAATGTTATTGCTGCTTGAATGTAATGTGTATTTATTTGTTACTAGACTCTCCTAACACTGCAGCTCGGGTTGCTTCAACTACCTGGAGGCTGGCAACCCTAAAACAGAGGTCATCATGATTATGGGAGTATCTGCCAATGGCTTTGTTCTGGGGGGGGGGAGCCAAAGGGAGAGCTAAAGTATAGAATTTCATCCTAATAGAATGTATAACTCCCCCTTCCTTTTCGTTCTAGATCATCCGGACATTCTCAGTCAAGCCAGATCCAAACTGCAAAGTGGTGAAGCCGCTCTCCCGCATTGTGCTTGTGCCAGACAAGCCCATTAACCTGAATTTCCTTGACAGATAGACAGTGCTCTAACTGACCTGGGACTGCATTCCAGGCTCATCTGGACAGACTGCAAAGATTCAAAGCTCAGACTCTCAAGTTTGATGGGGGTGGAGTGGTAGTGGATCTCTCTATGCCCAGATCAACATATACCTGTACAGTACATGCAGGTAGTAATGGCCCAAATGGTACATTGCATACATTCAGCATTTGAACGGCAGTTTTGGAAATGTACATTTCCATGTGTAAAAGCAATGTGCATTTCCATGTGTATAAGCAAGAAGATTTTCCCAGTGCCTACTAACAGCATAAGCTCCTGTGAGCCCCACAGAGTGAAATCTCTCCTATGTTGAGTGAACAAAAAGAGGAAAACAGACTTACTGCTGACTGATTTTCCATTTTTAAAAAAACTGGCAGAATATATGTTTGACTGCAGGAGAAGGGCATATCCTCCAAAGAAATGATACAAATGAAATAAAACATTCCTACAATGAATGTGCAGTTTGTGTGTACGTGTTGTTGCTTGCATTTGTATTCTACCGTCCTCGCATTCTGAATGCAAAAAAACATGTAGAGTTTCACAGCAGTCTCCCATCACAGCCCAAAGTCATTGCCATTCTCCAGTTACTCCAATCTAAGCCCTTTGAAATCAATTGCACTGCAAGTCCTGCTTGTTGCTGGATTGTGTACCTTTCGGCCACGTTTGACAGTGGAGAAGCCTCCTATGAGTTTCAGATAAACAAATTCTGTCACTATGCTGTCAAAGGCTTTCACGGCTGGAGTTCATTAGCTGTTGTTGATGTCAGGTCCTACAATGCCAAGACCACAGCCATACAACCCGGAAAATCTAAAACAGCTAAATTTGGTCACCTTTCTACAACCTATTTATTTCTACCTAGTGTACAGCATATTTGTAGCACACACACCTTCCCCCAACCCCTGGTTTAATTTCTGGAAAATGAGTGCCAGGGTTTATCTGCCTGGGGGACCCATTGAGACAAGAAGGGGCATCTCCCTCCATTAGGAAACTTTGAGCCAATTGGTCTTTTGTACTCAGGTATCCATATGGCTCAGGCATCAACTTTTTAGCTCATTGCATCATATGTGTCAAGTTCCACAGCCAGCAACAGAGTACACGCTTATCAGAAAGGTTATACTTTATTGAAGAGCTATAGATGGATTAACAGAAGCACTGTTAAGAATGGCATCGCCCCTACAAGCATAACGGGATATAGGGCATCCGTATGCACCCCCCCTGTCCCTAAGGCAATTAGCCGGACTCCTGCACGCATGAGAATAGCTCTAGACTGTTAGAGCCAGAGCTGGGAATCGATAGCGCTTCCACGGCCTTCCGTGAGCTCCAGACACTACACCACCTGCACATCTTTACCTTGATGGAGGGACACACATTCAAACCTATGAAATCTCTGGTACCAGAATAATTGGTGGAATTGATATGGCTATACCTATGGTACATCACTAATACCAGTAATACAATTACAAATATATAAGGAAACAACATCTGGTTTTAATATATGAGCACTAGAGATCTTGTATACAGGTCTATGAATGTGTGTCTATACTATATTGATAATTGTGACCACTGAGGAAGGCCCTTAGGGGCCGAAACGCGTTTGGTCTTCAGTAGGAAAGTGTTTACCCATCATATGTATTAGTATTTGATAAGTTTTTATAAGTCTGATACTTAGATAAAGATTTTTATCAGTATATGTTTTAACATGTGTATACCCTAATAAATATTTATACTTTTATAATATACATTGTTAGCTTAGCTAACATTTAGAGTGTCTAGAAGTAGAACTGGCAACTCTGGAAAGGTGCATATGTCAATAGCTGTGTGACTAGCCATTCTCATTGGTCCTTTCCGCACTTGGATCTCATCCCTGGTTTTATCAGATGAGATAAATCTGCCATTTATCCCTGATTATAGCAGCATACGTTTATCCCAGGACCAGGGCTTTTTTTGTAGAAAAAGCCCAGGAGGAGCTCATTAGCATAATAGGCCACACCCAACAGCAGAAAATCATTAGCATATTAGGCCACACCCCTGACAACGCAGCTCATTAGCATGTTAGGCCACTTCACATGCCTTCCCTTAGCTTGCCAGGGCACCCTGTGGCTGCGGGGCGCCTGGGCAAGCCGGTCCTTAGACAGGCCGGGGATGGCACAAGGAGGCATTTAAATGCCTCCCCGATCCTTCCAGGGCCCCTCCTGGCCCGCCTCGGGGTGGCTGGAGGGGTCACTCTCCAGGCCTTCCCTCTGTAGCCACACATGCAGAGGATTTGGCTGTAGTGGGCGTGGGCAACTCTGAAGCCAGCCAGAACTCCGTTCCTGTGCGTTCCTGCCCAAAAATAGCCCTGCCCGGGACAAGTGTCAGGCGAAACTGGGGTGACCTCAATGTAATATGGAAACAAAAAATACCCCAAGATAATTACAGGGGTGAACTCAAGTGTAGTGTAGAATATAAGTTCAGGGACAGGGTTAAATCAGGATTTAAGGTCCAGTGTGGAATCACCCCTTGTTAATATATTTTGTTATTCATGCATTTGTTAAAAGTATATACAGCATGTCGGGGGGGTGGACTGAAAACCCTAGCTCAGATGGAGAAGAAGATGGCACATCATTATTCATAATCAACACTTTTAGATATACCAAGTAATCTAAAAAGTAGTCCTAGTATCGATGCAACGAAAATGAAGTTGAGCACACTACAGAGGACAATGGAGGGCAGGAGGGCCTGGCGTGATGTGGTCCATGGGGTCGCGAAGAGTCGGACTCGACTGTGCTACTGAACAACAACAACAAAGCTGCTCTTCACTGGCCATCACTGTTTGTTTGTTTATCCTACAAGCCTCTTCTTGCTTCTAGGATTACTCGTGTGATCCTGATTCTTCCTATCCATCTCCTTGGGCTGCCTTTATGTGTCCTTGGCATTTTGCCTGCACTAATTCTCACATTAAGCTTCCTGTTTTATCAGCTGTCTTTTGCCCTCAGTCATCTGTTCTGGCTTCTTCCTTTCCTTATGTATCTTCCCCCATTAGTCTTTTAAAGTGTATTTTTTCACACACAAAATCTTACTTCCATGACCTCAAATTTTGGTTTATACTTCATTCGGTCCTTACACATAGTTCCTATGGCTTTGACTAGGACTTAGACCTTATCTGTGGCCTCCTTCATGAGGCTATATGCCAAATCTTTACCCCTTTAATGCCTAAAAACCTGGTTGTTTCAGATGGGGGTTATTTGTTGCTAGTTAGAGTCAGATCTCATTTCGGGGGGATCGCGGGGGATCGCAGTTCCCCCGGATGAGGTACGGGGAACGGGGCACATGACGAAGCCCCGCCCCCTGCTTCCGGCCACCCTGCTTCCGGCCCTCATTCAGCCAGGAGGAGGCAGGAGAAGAGGGAGGGTAAGTTGCTTCCTCCCTGCCTATCCCCACCCCTGCCTGCAGGGTGGAGCTTCCTTGCACTCCCGCCGGCCTTGCAGGTCCACCGCCGGGCCCCTCATGGGGCTCGGCAGTGGAGCTGCAAGGCTGGCGGCGACGGCCGGGACCGTTGGGGGCGGGGTGTGTGGCCTTATGACACACTTCCGGTGATGTCAGGGGGTGTGGCATATGCTGAGTTCCCCTAGCTCTTTTTCTATGAAGCGACCCCTGGTTAGAGTACATCTGTTTACGGAAGTGGCACAAGGATTTGGCTTCAGTTGTATGACTAGGGGGTGAAATGTTTTGGTTTCTAGTAACTTATTTTGAATTGTAGAAATGGTTAGTTTTGTTTACTGCCCTGAGCTGCTGGTATAGTGATATATAAATGTTTTAAATCATGAAAATTATAACATGGGGTTTAATAATTTCTGGTGCTATATAAATAATGGATAACAAGAAGAGGACCTACAAGGACTCACGGAGGAGGGGAGACTCTGTTTTCCACTGTTGGCTCCTGGTGTCCCCTTCATGTGTCTTCTCTTTCCTTCGCACTGACTCCTCCCCTTCATATCTCCTCTAGGCACCATTTTGGGTTGTCGACAAGTGAACAATCAAATACCTATCCGCTTTATCAAAGTCTTTCGGAAATATATTCAATAACAATATCTCTGGAGTAAATGGAACCTTAGTTCTTATTATTTTTGCATTATCTGGTGTACCCATCTCCAGAACCTTTTTGTAACATCACATAGCCACCACATATGATAAAATGAACCAGTCTTATTCTTACATTTCCAACATTTATCTGAGCAAGTAGCATTTTGTTTAGCTAGTCTATCTGGTGTAATATACCATCTATAAAGCATCTTATACATATTCTCTTTGTATGATACAGTGTTAGTCAATTTAATATTTTTCAACCAAATCTGCTTCCACTCCTCCAAGTGAATATTACGTCCAATATTCTGGGCCCATGCAATCATATTTTTTTTCACCCTTTCACCTATCATCACATCATCTAATAAAATCTTATATAATTTCTTTATCACTTTATTTTCTGCTGTTAACATAGTTTCTTCCATCTCAGTTATTTTATTATTAAAGCCTAACCTCTTGTCCTTTAAATATATCGATTCTAGTTGTGCTTTCTTCCACCAGGATAACTGTTCTGGTAATTTAAGGTTATCTTTTTTGTCCAAAATGTCCTGGTATCTTAATGATTCTTCTCCCGCATAAACATTTGGTAGAGTAAACGCCTCTAAAGGTATTATTAATCTCGATCTTTTGGTATAAAAATTTTTGTGTATAGAGTCCCAGACCTTTAGTAGTGCTGCTCTCAGCCAATGCTGCTTAAAATATTTTTGTGATCCTGCTTTTTCATACCACAGAAAGGCATTCCATCCTAAAAGTAGGTCATGGACTTCAATGTTCAAGAGTCTCTTATCTTCTAGTGTAATCCATTCTTTGATCCATACCAGGGCTGCTGCTCTATAATACAGCAGCCAATTTGGAACACCAAATCCTCCTCTTTCCTTTATATCATGTAATATTTTCAGTCTTATTCTTGCCTTTTTCCCTTGCCATGTAAATTTAGATGTTAATTGGTCTAAGTCTTTGAACAGATTTTGGTTTTGCAATATTGGAATAGTTTGAAATAAAAACATCCATCTTGGTAAAACGTTCATTTTTATTGTAGCTATTCTTCCCATCATAGAAAGTTGCAGATTTTTCCATTTCTCCA